AACTATCTCACCCCGGATCTCTGGAAAGAGACTGCTTTCACCAAGTCTATCAGGAATTCCCTGACCATCTTATAAAGACCGACACCAGAGTTTCTGTGCAAAGGACCCAGGCTCCAGCTGTGGCCACCACATAATTTTATGCAAGAAAAATAAAGTGATGACTTAAACCTGCTTAAAAAAAAGAAGTGATATAACCAAAATAAAATTTAAAAAATTAGAAATGAAGCATTGATCCAGCAGAGCTTGTATAGAGGGAGACTGAGAGAGCAATGGGGAATTTCTGTCCAACTGGTATAGTTTCAGTTATGCCACATGAATATGTACTAGAGATCTGCCATACAGCCTAGTTTCTATAGGTAATAAGGTACTGTGCCCTTCAAAATTTGTTAAAAAGATAGATCTCATGTTAAGTGTTCTTACCATGATAGGAAATTGAAAGTCCTGAAGGAAAGATCAAAATGAATGTGGTCAAATAAAACAATATAAAAATTTTTATGTGAGATAAAATAATAATCTATATCTTACCTAATAATAGACAAGCATGTAAATTGACCGTACCTTCGCTACACCAATAGCCAATCACAGTGAGCATGCAAATTAACCCAAAAATATGGTGGTCCATTTGCATACATAGGCACCCAGCACCTGTGTCCCAGGAACATCCTGACACTCAGGTCACTGTGAGGTAAGGCCCCATGAGCCCAGAGCAGCCTGGGAAGGGTCTGAGCCAGGGGGCTTCTGGGCAGGGTCAAGCCTGCAATCAGAACGAGGTGGCAGGAGTGGAGCCTGTGATTGATCGCAAGGAGCTAGGGGTCTGCTCCTGCCTAAGGCTTCTGGGCAATGGGCAGGAGTGCAGCTTGCGATCAATCGATCAATCGATCAATTGCAGGGAGCTGGAGGGCCCCTGCCCAGGCCTAAAGCTTCAGCCAGAGGCTTTAGGCCTGGACAGGACCCAGCCCACGATTGGTGTGAACTATAGAGAAAACACCTTTTCTGACTGCACATTGATTAAGCTCCCTGTATGCCAGTGGTAATATTCTTAGTAACTTGGGTAATAAGAATCCAAAAAGGTGATCTAGGGTTTTTCCACCACACTTCTGAAGGAAAAAAATGAAGGTCTGCTGCTGAAGGGCTAAGAAATGTCATATCCTGCCCCAGCCAATTTGGCTCAGTGGATAATGCCTCGGCCTGCCGACCACAGGATCTGCGTTCGATTCTGATTAAGAGCATGTACCTAAGTTGCAGGTACAGGGCTCATGCAGGAGGCAACCAATCAAAGTGTTCCGCTCACTTTGATGTTTCTCTCTCTTTCCCTTCCTCTTCCACATTCTCTAAAAGTCAATAGAAACACATCCTCAGGTGAGGATAAAAAAAGAAAGAAAGAAAGAAAGAAAGAAATGCATATCCACCAAAACCGGTTTGGCTCAGTGGATAGAGCTTCGGCCTGCGGACTGAAGGGTCCCAGGTTCGATTCTGCCCAAGGGCATGTACCTTGGTTTCGGGCACATCCCCAGTGGGGGATGTGCAAGAGGCAGCTGATTGATGTTTTTCTCTCATCGATGTTTCTAACTCTCTATTCCTCTCTCTTCCTCTGTGAAAAATCAATAAAATATTTTTTTTAAAAAGAAAAAGAAATGCATATCCTATGAAAGGCACATCTTGAAAATGCCTAAAGAAAGTTGTCATTTTTTCATGGTGAAGGGACTGGAGTCTGTGTTGATGAAAACACCTTGGCGGCTGCAGTGACTGACAGTGGCTACAGCAGCAGGGTGATGGGGCTGGCGCCTTCCCCTGATCAGCCTGGTTGCCTCCCACAAGGGGAGGCCAGACTGCGGCTTAGGTCTGCTCCCCGTGGAGCCGTCAGTAGGACATCCCCTGAGAGCTCCCAGTATGTGAGAGGGGGCAGGTTGGGCTTAGGGACCACCCACCCCCAGTGCACGAATTGATTCTCTCGAGAGGTTAGGAGAGAGGATCTAAGAAAAGGGAGGCACCAGGCATGATCAAGAAAGAGATGCTTATTCAGTTAGCATTCTCTCCTTTCTTACCTCACAGACAGGAGTTCCCATACCAGCAGGAGTAATTGACCCTGGTATTCATGAGGAATCAGGGCTGCGGCTACACAATAGGGGCAGCGAGTAATATACTGGACACGCAAGGGAACAGGGGGTATCTCTTAGGACTAATGCAGCAGTGGGGCTTATGGCTCATCTCATCAACCTCCTTTTATAAGCTTTCTAGAGATTGTGACCCATCAGAATCTTGGAGATATCATATATGTTTAGGGTATTTCTTGGATCACATGATCTCACACATCTAGAGGAATTAATGAACAACATAAACTGATGAACAAAAACAGACCCAGAGAAAGAGAAGCAGCGATCAGACTCTCAAACTTCAGAGGGAAAGTAGGGGAGTGGGGGGTAAGGGGAAGAGATCAGCCAAAGGACTTGTGTGCATGCATATGGTCCTAGCCAGTGGCCATGGACAACAGGGGGGTGGGGGCATATGTGGGGAGGGGTTTGGGATGGGAATGGAGGGATGAGGACAAATGTGTGAAACCATAATCAATAAAAAAAATTTTAAATGCATTACCTAATCTGTCATTAATCTTCTCATTTATAATATTTTGCTGTATGAAAGCTTTATATTTTTATGCAACACATTTATCAGCATTTTCAGTGATGACTTTTTGGTTTTATGACATGCTCAGAGTAACTTCTTCCACGTTCATTATAAAAACATTCACCCATATTTTATTTCACTATGTATAGGGTTTTACTTTTGTTTAGTCCTTAATCCATCTAGAGTTTGTTTTTGTGCATAAGGCTCTCACTTTAGTGCATCCAAATGGGTGGCCAAGGATGATATTAAACCCTCTCTCTTTCCTCTCCTGATGTAGCATGCCACCATTTTCATCCATTAAAGTTCCATGTATACACTATTGTAAACTGTAGTAGCTACCGTGCGGCAAATAAAATATCTTAGAATTCTTCAAGTGTTAAGAGGATACAGCTACTGTAAGGATGGGTTTCAGAATCAACACGGATATTTATGCATAGACAAAAAAAAAGATGTCTGTATGCTTCACTGTCAAATGGAGAGAGGCTGGGGGCGGTTCAATTGCAGTAATGATATCATAAGGAGTGGTAGAATTCTATTTGGAACTCCCGACACGTAAGCGGGAGACTGTTGCCAGCTTCTTCCGTTGTGCGTTGAAGACTGAAGCCAAATTCACTGCTTCTTCAGACCGCTTGGTGCTAAGTCAATTTCCAGGTAAGTGGTTTCCCACCTGACATGGCTGTGGGAACGCCTCTCACCTAGCGAATGAGTGTCTCAGTTATAAATGTCTTAAGTAACAGAAAACCCAAATTACAGTGACTCAAATGGGTTATTCTCCTCATACAAGCAGTCTCAAGGTAGGCAAATGGACATGTTGCTTTAGTGGCCTGAAGATGTCAGAGCCAGAATAGATGTCACTTTCTTGACCATTTTCCTCATGTGCATTGCCTCATGGTCACAAGATGGCTGCTCCAACTTCAGCTAACACTTCAACAATGGTCAAGGCAGCATAAAGGAAAAATGGTAGCACCTTCTCTTTGATCAGTACGGAAAAAGTCTTCCCAGAAGCTACCCATCAGATTTCTGTTTGTTTCTTTGTCTCCTCGTTTTGGTAGGCTCCCTGTGTTTGTTTCTATGTATTAGGTAGAGCTGCTTCATCTCCCAGGCTTGGTTGAGTGGCCTAATGTAGTAGATGTTCTATAGAGTCCAATGGCACCGCCTCCCCAATCACTCACACTAGGCACTCAAGATGTGCGCCCCAGTGTCAGCTGTGTACACCCTCCTTTTGTAGGTGAGCCTTGATTGTTGTTGGCATGTCAATGGGAGAAACTTACCCCTCCAGGCTAATCAGCTACAAGAGCTGGTTGGAACCACAACCACCAACCTCTGACCACCGACCACTGGGGAGGATCAGCTGTGCAGGGCCCCACCCCACACAGAAGGACTTTCTTCAGTGGGGCTCTTGTGCTCACTGAGTCTGCTCCTTAAGCATGTCACTTGTGAAGGTGGTTGGGTGGTAATGCTTGGACATGATCTACTGGGTGCACTGGCTCTGAGGCCTCCTGAGAAGTGCAGGCCAAGGTCAGCCAGTACCTGCGTTCTGCTCAGGACCACCCAGCATGAGCTACAAAGTGATCTGCAAATGGCTGCTATTTCTACTGTGCTTGCAGGTATCCAGTAGAGGCCAAGCTTCAAACAAAGGCTGGCTGCTCCTGATGCCAGGGCTGGTGCCACTTAGGAAGAAGTAAGGGACACACTGAGGCCAGAAGCTGCTTGCTTGAGAGATTTTAGAAATCTGAAGTATGAGCCAAGACAGGCCATTGCTGTGGAAAAGCCACTAGAAACAGCTTAGGTCATTCCAAGATTGGGGGGAGGGGGGGACACAGTACTTTGGGAATCACCAGAGTGGGGAAAACAGTGTGAGATGCCCCACCAGGTCTTACCCTGATGGCAAACAATTCAGTTCCTCCCCATATGTCTGTGGTGCCTTTCAAGCTCTGCCCAACTCTGGAGCTCAGAGGGAGTGAGTCCTAGTTCAGTGTGTGGTCATTTAAGAGGAATTGCCTGGCCCTAGCTGGTTTGGCTCAGTGGATAGAGCATCGGCCTGCAGACTGGAGTGTCTTGCGTTCAATTCCAATCAAGAGCACATGCCTGGGTTACAGACTTGATCCCTAGTAGAGGGAGTGCAGAAGGCAGCAAATCAATGATTCTCTCTCATCCTTGATGTTTTCTATCTCTCCTGTCCTCTCTGAAAACAATTATATATATATATATATATATATTTTTTTTTTTTATTTTTTATTTTTTTTTTTATTTTTTTTTTAACAAAACTAACCCATCATTTTGTAACTTTTCAGACAAAGCTGCCTTGGAAAGAGCCAGGGAAAAATCCATCCTTCCTTGGCTGAGGGAGCACAGCTCCGTCGTCCTCGGGAGAGTCCATGGACCTCCAGAAGTTGCTGATTGTTGGATTTCTTCTGTGTTCTCTAATTTGCTTCTTAGAACCTCTGGTTTCCTCTTCGTCATTTTTAACTTCTTTTGGACTACAAGAGAAGGAAAGATCAGAACCTATCTCAAGGGGTTTGTCTGCTGTTAGATTGAATGTTCCTGCCTTCCTAAAACATAACACGCGTGCCTCAGGTCAGGAAATACTGATTTTCTATTTGAAAGTAATGTTCACTTCCTAAAGAAAACACCCACTGTCCCAAGCCTTACCTTAATCAGTAGACTCCCTCTAAAGCTCCTTCTGCCAGTTGCCCTGGCCCCTTCCCCCTTTGGATGCTCCTGGCATTGGTGTCCTCTTCCTTTCTCTTTATGGGACACTCAACTACCCTCACTCAGCCTCCTGCAGAACTCCCAAACATACTTTGGGCAACAACATGTTAGTTATCTATACTAATAAAACGGTAATGTGCTAATTAGACCAGGAGACCTTCCAGACATCCTTCCGGACAAAGCCATGGTGCCGGGGCCAAGGCAGAGGCAGTTAGGGGTGATTAGGCCAGGAGGGGAGGGCAGTTGGGGGTGATAGGCTGGCAGGGGGGAAGTTGGGAGCAAGCAGGCCGGCTGTGGGGGGGGGGGGGAGAGGCAGTTTAAGGGATTAGGCCAGCAGGGAGGGCAGTTGGGAGTGAGTAGACTGGCAGTGGGAGACAGTTGAGGGCAATCAGGCTGGCAGTGGGAGGCAGTTGGGAGTGAGCAGGCCAGCAAGGGGAGGCAGTTGGGGGCAAGCAGGCCAGTAGGCAAAGTGATTAGGGGCGATCATTTACATACTTGACTGCTCCTCAATGAAACTCTATGCTCTTTCTGCAGGAAAGGACAGGTCCTGGCTGAACAACATCAGGGATTACGTGTGGGATCTCATCAAAAGCACCCTACCTCGGGCAGCCATTTTGGCCTTTCTTTTGAGCTCCGCAGTAATGGGAACCCTCTGCTGCCTCACGTAAGCTGCTGTGGGATGAGGGAAAGGGAGGAGAAAGGGAACCCGAGCAAGAGACAGGAACATTCAGATTCCACACCAGCCTGCACGTCAGTAACTCAGGGAAAAGAAGGAATGTGATTCTGAACCCAAGGTGTGGTGGTTGAGTCCGAGTTCGTTGTCTTGCAAAACCGAAGAATGGATTTGTGGACAAAAACGGTTAGCAGAAGCAAAGTTTATTGGGAGAAGCCAGTCCTGGAAAAGGTGCAGCTGGGGTTCCAGCGGCAGGCCAGAGTCCAGAGCTTCTGTTCCATGTTGCAATTAGGTGTAGTTCAGCATCCAAGCGAATTAAAATCCATTAGTCCATGTGTAGAGTCCCACATGGCCATAAGCCATGAAAGAGAGAGAGAGAGAGAGAGAGAGAGAGAGAGAGAGAGAGAGAGAGAGAGAGAGAGAGAGAGAGAGAGAATATATATAGATACATCCCTTGCTTGCTCCTGATTGGTCCTTTCAATGAACTCTGCCTTAGTAACATTCTTGTGATTGGTTATACGCCTCACTGCCTTGTGATTGGTTATCTGCAAGCAACGGGTCTTAGCAGCATCTATACATTTTAAAGCTTAAGTATGCAAGCGCCCTTCTTTCCCCACGCAGCTGCGTTTCTTTAGTAACTTCCGCCAGCTGGGTTCCCCAGGTACTACTTCCTCTAGTACCCACCCCCATGGTTCCCTCACTGTCTAGCCCTTCCATCTCCTCCATTCTGGGAACAAAACTCTGAAAGGCCATTTCCCCCCTTTTCAAAAGTCTCCTCTACTTCCCATTTTTCCTCCAACCTCCTCTGTCCCTTACCAGCCACTTACAGGTGACCTTCAATAACCAGTGTTTGCAACTGATCACTTTTTTTTTTTACTAACTTTATTAACTCTTCATCATCCTTCCATTTGGTTTAGGAACTATACACGGAAAAGATATAATTAACTGTGTTTTTTTTTCAATTGCCTGAAAATTTACCAAAATATTTATCGACATCATCGATTTTCAACCATTGTGCTGCAAGAGTTTTTAAAACAAGCCATAATAGACTATTCAGTAGGGGCACTGACCTCTTTTCCCTTAAATATTCAAATTTAAAAATGACTACAGCCAAAAAATAAAAATTAAAAAAAATGACTACAACCAACACAATAGCTGTCCAGTGTGAATGAATCAAAATTATACTTTTTTTTTTTGTCGGAGAGGCATAAAATTTAATATTATTTGGTGTGCCACAGAATCTTAGTCGTTTGGTCATACCATGAGATGAAAAAGGTTGAAAATCGCGCTCTACCTAAGTCACATGAACCCAAAGAGATTCCTGAAATAATAAACATAGTTAGAAAAGCTTAAATTTCATTAATTCAGTTTGGACTTACAAAGGAGATACCTAACTGATTGTCTCTGTCCTGGTTGCTAGAGAAACAGAAAAATAATGACAAAGCTGGGGTGTTAGTGCTATGGTGGGATACAGTCCAGGTGGGGAATCTATGAAATTGTGTGATGGGATTATAGAAAGGCTTTGGTTAAGGGCTGTTCAAACTTTAGAATCTAATAAAGTAGCTGAGGGCAAAGATTAGACTGAGGGTGTGGTGTCTCAACCTGTGTCTCCTAAAAACACCAACATGATCACAGGATCAAGAACTATGTCTAAGCCCAGCCAGTGTGGCTCACTGATTGAGCAACGACCTATGAACCAGGAGGTCACAGTTCAATTCCTGGTCAGGGCTCAATCCCAGTGCGGGATGTGCAGGAAGCAGCCAATCAATGATTCTCTCTCATCACTGATGTTTCTCTCTGCCTCTCTGTTCCTCTGTGAAATATACAGTATATATGTAAATATATATCCTATATAATAAAAGGCTAATATACAAATCACCGAACAGCGGAACAACCAGTCACTATGACACACACTGACCACCAGCAGGCAGATGCTCAATGCAGGAGCTGCCTCCTGGTGGTCAGTACACTCCAACAGAGGGAGTGCTGCTCAGCCAGAAGCCGGTCTCACTGCTGGCGAATGTAACAGCGGTGGTGGCCTCCATGGCAGCGCAAAGGATGTCTGACTGCTGGCTTAGGCCTGCTCCCCGAGGACATCCCCCAAGGGCTCAGGTTGGGCTGAGAGACTCCCCTATCCCCCAAGCCTTTTATTATATAGGATATATATATATATAATAATATATAATAAAAGGCAAATATGCAAATAGACCAAACAGCAGAACAACATAACAACAAGTTGCTATGACATGTGCTGACCACCAGGGGGCATCAGCTGTGGTGGGATGGTGGAGCAGGTGAGCAGGGGTGCCATACCAAGGTGAGGCACCAGTCACTGTCATTGGGGCAAGCCTCTGGTGGTTAATGAAAATTCTTTGCTCCCATGCACAGTGGTCCCTCTTTCACCCACTGCCAGAGCCACTACTCGCACCCACTGCCAGCCCCGATTGCCCCTGAGGGCTTCTCCACCTCCCCCTGCTCCTGAGGGGCAATTGGGGCAGCAGCTGCCGCTTGTACCCACTGATGGTGCTGGTCCCACTCTCACCTGCTGCTGTGCTGGCCCCAATCACTCGGCACTATCAGTGAGTGTGAGTGGGGCCGGCACCATAAGTGCATGGGAGCTACTGCAGGAGGAGGGCTGCCAGCAGACAGGGGAGTGGGGTCCATAGTGGGGGGCCAGGCAGGAGTGTGGAGGATGGGCTTAGACCTGTCCCTGTGCCCACTGCAGCCTTTCATTCCACAGTTCCTTTCAAGGTGCACGAATCCGTACACTGGGCCCCTAGTGTGTGTGTGTGTGTGTGTGTGTGTGTGTGTGTGTGTGTGTGAACTATGTCTAGGAAACAACCTTGGCTATAGTTAATGGCACATAGAGCTGGTTGGAGCCAAATAGAAGTCAGCTAAGTTTTTGAGAGACGCTAATTGCTAAAGAAACTATTAACCAAAGCAAAATAAGCTATTCATTGTCTGAGCCTTAAAACAGTATTTGACACAGGCTTTGAAGGCTCCTAGGAGAGTGTGCTCCCCAACACTGACTTCAGATGCAGCCATAGAGAATAATGGACAGGAAGGGGCCCCCTGGGGGATGGGCAATGGGCCAGGGAGCTCCTCCTATAAAGCAAGGTGCTGGCTAATCAATGTCCGCCCAGCAGATTCCACGACTAGTATAGAGCGGTGCCTGCTGTGTCTCCCTTTCTTCCTCTTTCCATATGGGAATGCTGATGGTGGCTATCCTCTTCCCGCTCCATCATTGTAGATGGGGCGTGGAGATCGGGGGCAGATAACTTGTTTCAGTTCGTAGGCCACTTAACCCAGAAGAGCTAGACCCAGACTTGAGAGAAGCAAGCATCACCCAGATATGCTGGACTTGGAGCTGAACCAGGTTAAGACTGGATTTGAGTCTTGCAGAAATGTTGTGCCACAGTCAGGTGTTCTGGAAGCGGACAGTGAGATAAGACTTTGGTACGCAGGGTATTATCAGTGATCAATGCCTGTGGAGGGTACCCGGGGCCAACGGGGGAGGGAGAAGTTCAACGGCCTTTCAAGTTTAACGAAGCCTTGGTGGACCCCATCAGAGCGGTCCCACCTTAGCCTGAAATAGCTGGACCCCTATAACCACACCTCAATTCATTAATGGATGTGGGAAGTACAGGCAGCTCTTGATGGCTGAGGCAAACCCTGAAATGGCTAACAGCTAGAAGCTGAGTATTGATTGGCAGCACTCTTGGCAGCTGGAAAAACCAGGTCGTTTCCACGGGGGAGTCTGGGCATCATGGTTCTGTGTGCACTGCAGGGAAGCTGTGTCCTGTGAGTGGACGGAAGAGTGAAACAGGTATTGGTGGTCAGGAAGACAGACTGTGACGGAGACGGGCTATACGTCCACCAGTCCTATTCCTTCCTCACCAATGCAGAGGAAGGCTGCATCTCCCAGTTAAAGAAGCCAGGACTCCAGCTGTTGTAGGCAGCAGGGAACAGCGGCAGGTGTCTGACCGGTGGGGTCAGACCAACCCTGGGTTCAGCAACCTCGGCTCTTGGGTCCTGGCTAAGAAAGAATTCAGAGCAGGACACCACCTGGAAGAGAGCATTTCTTGGGTAAATGACAGAGGCGGAATAGTCAATCCTAGACTAAATAGGCTTAGGAAGCAAGGTATAAAGGTTAAAAAAAAAAAAAAAAAAAGGCCCTTGGGAATGAGAAATTTAAGGTAACTTGCCCGGGGCAGGGAGGGGGAAGGGAGGAGAAGGGAAAGGAAAAGGCCCGAGCTTGCTCCCAGGAGAGAGAGCACCCTGGGTCCTCCATCCTAAGGGTTTTTGTTTGTTTTTTAAAATTTTTTTTTGTTTATAAAGTATTACATATAGTAGTACATATATCTCCTTCCCCAACCCCCCATTGACCTTCCCCCATCCTCCCCTAACCCCTGTGGCATGCCCTCATCCCACCCACCCCCAGTGTCTTGTGTCCATTGGTTGTGCTCATATGCATGCATACAAGTCCTTCCGGTTGTTCTCTCCTCCCCAGCCCTTCCATCCCCAACATTCCCCAGCCTTCCCGCTGTAATTTGACACTCTGTTTGGTGCTTTACTGCCTCTGTATCTATCTTTTTATTCATCAGGTTATAATGCTCTTTATTCTCCATAAATGAGTGAGATCATGTGGTATTTTTCTTTCATTGTCTGGCTTATTTCATTTAGCGTAATGCTTTCCAGGTCCATCCATGCTGCAAAACTAAGGTACATCCTAAGGGTTGTAAGGGTGCAGATTTTAGGGGTGGTCCCAGGGAAGATCTCAATAGAACATCAGCAGTTTTCCAAGCGTGTCCTTTCAGGGCTGTGGTCCCCATGACTGATTGGCGGCACCAGGGCGGGGCCATTATTCCATGCAGCTGGTCCTGAGGTCACAGGTTCGGGCGCTTATCTGGGCCTGGAGCTGAAATGCAACTGAGGCCTGAGTGTCATCTCCAGGGAGGAAGGGCCAGGGGCTCCAAACCACAGGACCAGCATCTGCCGGGGAGGGAAGGTCACCCTGGGGGCGGGGTCCCACACCACCATGGATTGTCCCGGGGCGAGGCACCTGGGCTTTCCGCCCTGGAGACCGGCTGTGGCTGGCTCTGCTCCTCTCTGTCTAACTGCCCACAACAAAGTCAAGATATATCTGATTCTGTACCTTAAGTCACGTTACTGAACCGATGGCAGAAGATAAGGCAGGCGGCAGGACCGAGAGAAATACTTTCTCCTTTGAAGTACCTGGCTCAGGCTGAGGAGAACACCCAATCAGGCCTCACTGGGAACTAGTGGAAGGCCCCTCAGGCCACTGAAGGCAAGAGGGCAGACCAGATAGAGCAAAACCAAAGGAGATAGTGATGAAAACATGGACAAGGAGACTTGGAATGCAGGGTCACAAAAGCCAGTACTATGAAAGAGAGATAAACCAGGATTTTCATGAAAGTAAGAGGGAAAATGATAGATACAGGAGACAATGTCTCTGTAGAGGAATAGCAACAGGGAAAAAAATACTTCCAGGTCTAATTTTTTTAAATGTTGCAGAAATAAAGGAAGATTAGAGTCTATCGTCATACTGAGCACATCAAGTCACAGGAAAAATTGGCACTTGCTAAGGTGACCAGACGTCCCGCAATTGGCGGGACAGTCCCAATTTTTAATAATTTGTCCCACGTCCCGCAGCTTCGGGACTTTTTTAAACGACGCAGGACAAGTTATTAAAAATCAGGACTTAATCTTTCCAAAAATCAGGACTTTTTTAAAACGCCACAGGATGAGTAACAAATTGTTAAGAATCGGGACTGTCCCGCCAATTGTGGGACGACTGTCACCTTACACTTGGCACTGGAGCATGTAGTACACTCTCATAGTACCTGTTGCTATTTTTTTTTTTTTTTCATCCTCACCTGAGGATATTTTTTCCATTGATATTTTTAGGGAGAGTGGAGGGTTGGGAAGAGGGAGAGGGAGAGACAGACAGACAGACATAGATGTGAGAGAGACACGTTGATTGGTTGCCTCCCACATGCACCCCGATGGGGCCTAGGGATTGAGCCTGCAACCAAGGTACTTACCCTTGACCAGGAATCCAATCCTCTAACCACTGAGGAAATTGACCAGAGCTGATTTTTGTATTAATTACATTTCACAGCAAGGATTACAAACAGTTTCTCTTTGCTTCTTTTGTGTGTGCGCACTTTTCCCAGAAGTACTAATGTGCAGAGTGCATGGAGCAAGCTCTATTCCATCTTCCTGCTCCAAAAATACATTTAATATACACTGAGTGGCCAGATTATTATGATCTCTGAACGCATAATAATCTGGCCACTCAGTGTGTATGTGTGTGTGTGTGTGTGTGTGTGTGTGTGTATCTCCTATATAATAAAAGGCTAATATGCAAATAGACTGAACGGCAGCACAACTGGTCGCTATGACACGCACTCACCACCAGGGGGCAGACAATGAACGGAGGAGCTGCCTCTGGTGGTCAGTGGGCTCCCACAAAGGGAGTGCCACTCAGCCAGAAGCCAAGCTCTTGGCTGGTGAGTACAGCGGAGTGCAGTGGAGGTGGTGGAAACCTCTTCCACCTCCACGGCAATGCTAAGGATGTTCAACTGCTGGGCTGAGGGATCCCCCCCACACACCTATGTGCATGAATCTCATGCACTGGGCCTCTAGTATATATATATCAGAGACCCAGTGCATAAATTTGTGCATGGTGGGGTCCAGCCAACCTGGCCAGGGAAAGGAGACATGGGCAGCTGGCCAGCCTGCCTGCTGGTCGAACTTCTGGTCGAGGGGACAATTTGCACATTAGCCTTTTATTCTATAGGATATACACTGAGTGGCCAGATTATTATGTGTTCAGAGATCATAATAATCTGGCCACTCAGTGTATTGTCTTCGGCTAGAGGAAGTGCCAGATAGTAGACTGATAAGAACAAATACTACACTTGATCTTAGCCAAAAGGCCAAGAAAAAATCTCTCTGTGCCTCTTTAAAAATATATTTTTATTGATTTCAGAGAGGACGGGAGAGAGAGAGAAAGAGAAAGAGAGAGAGAGAGAGAGAGAGAGAGAGAGAGAGAGAGAGAGAGAGAGAGAAACATCAATGATGAGAGAGAATCATGGATTGGCTGCCCCTGCATGCCCCACACTGGGGATCAAGCCTGCAACCTGGGCATGTGCCCTGACCAGGAATCAATCCTATGACCTCCTGGTTCATAGGTCAAAGCTCAACCACTAAGCCAAGCTGGCAGGGCGATTAGTTTGTGTTTATTTTTAAAAGATACTTTAACAACAAAGAAGAAAAACTATATGACCATACTTCTACCTTCACCTCCAATCCTACCTGAAGCATTTTCTCAAGTCCCAAAAGCATTTGGTTTATATTAAGAGAAAAAGCTATCTAATTTCCTATCTTGGAAAAGATAATGTAACTACGAAGTAACTGGGCAGACCAGGAGAGTGTCAAGGAGTTTAAACTGTTCAGCATTCATTATTTTCTCTTTTCTCCTCAGCATTCTTGTGCGTGAACCAAACCACTAAAGTACTAGAAGATTCCATTGAGCAAGCATGGAGTTTAGTTTGCTGGATTTCAAGAAAGTGGAGTGTGCTATTTGCTTATAATATAAATCTATCTATCTATTTTTAAAAAAACAAAACAAAAAATAAAACGTCTTTATCTTGCACTATTTTTGTCTTATTTTCTTTAAAACAGGCAATTGATCGCTTCTCGGCCTTTTGGCTAAGATCAAGCGTAAAACATGCGATTGAAAATGGGAATACCCAGTAACACATGCTTGTTGCAATTTTTTTTTTCATAAAATACAAAAAGAAGAAAGAGTACCCACAATCCTAGAGCCCAAAAATAAACATTCTTAACATTTTGGTGTGCCTCTTTTTAAATCTTTATATGCTCATAATACCAGTTTCCCAAAATTTGTTCTATGAAACAATACTTCTGTTTTAATAAATGTTATGAGACAATTCGAGCTCTGAAGTCAATTAAATTTTTTAATATATTTTTTATTGATTTCAGAGAGGAAGGGAGAGGGAGAGAAACATCAATGATGAGAGAGAATCACTGATCAGCTTCCTCCTACATGCTCTCCACTGGGGATCAAACCTGCAACTTTGGCATGTGCCCTGACCAGAATCGAACCTGGAACCCTTCAGTCCTCAGGCCGACACTCTATCCACTGAGCAAACCAGCCAGGGCTCAATTAAGTTTTGAGAGATGCTGGATTAACCAAATGTAACCATTCTCCTATTTATTTTGAATTTATTGGGATGACATCCTATATAATAAAACCCTAATATGCAAATCGACTAAATGGTGGAATGGCTGGTTGCTATGATCCACGCTGACCACTGGGGGACAGACGCTCAATGCAGAAGCTGCCCCCTGATGGTCAGTGTGCTCCCACAGGGGGAGCGCCACTCAGCCTGGAAGCTGTACTCATGGCTGGCGAGTGCAGTGGTGGTGGCAGGAGCCTCTCCTGCCTCCGTGGAGGTGCTAAGGAGCAGCAAGGAGCAGCGAGTAGGTGGTGATAAGGAGCAAGGGATCCTGGACTGTAAAAGGGATGTCCGACTGCCAGCTTAGGCCCAATACCCTTGGAGATAGGGCCTAAGCTAGCAATCGGACATCCCCTAAAGGGTCCCGGACTGCAAGAAGATGCAGGCTAGGCTGAGGGACCCCTCCCCCCAGTGCAAGAATTTCATGCATCAGGCCTCTAGTTGGTTAATAAAATTATATGGGTTTCATATGTACACTTCTATAATACATCATCTGTATGTTGTATGGCGTCCTCACCACCCCAAGTCAAGTATCCTTCCATCACCATTTATCCCCCCTTTACCTTCTATTTCCCCTCACCCCCTTTCCCTCTGGTAATCACCATACTGCTGTCTATGTCTATGAGGTTTCCCCAACTCTCTCCTCTCTGACAGCTGTCAGTCTGTTCTCTGTATCTGTGAGTCTGTTTTCATGTTGTTTGTTTCTTTATTGCAGGATCTCTAAAAGCCTTTAAAGGCAAATATGAATCTCCAGGAGAGGGTATAATGTACAGAAATTGGAACACAGGATTGAGAAATGCTGACACGCACACAGTCTCAGAAACTCATTCACATGGATACTTTTTCTTTTACCAAATAGCACACAGTGCATACTATTTTGTAGCTTACTTTTTTCTTCACTGTGACATATCATGGATATCTTTCCCTGTCAATAAATGTCTACGTAATTTTGTTCCATATTGTCCCTGACAGGGAATTGAGCCATGACCTCCTGGTTCATAGGTCAACATTCAACCACTGAGCCACGCCAGCTGGGCCATCATGTCTCTTGGTTGCATTATTTTTTTAAAATATTTTATTGATTTTTTACAGAAAGGAAGAGAGAAGGACAGAGTCAGAAACATCGATGAGAGCGAAACATTGATCAGCTGCCTCTTGCTCACCCCCTACTGGGGATGTGCCTGCAACCAAGGTACATGCTGTTGCCTGGAATCAAACCTGGGACCTTTCAGTCTGCAGGCCGATGCTCTATCCACTGAGCCAAGCCAGTTTCACCTTGATTGCATTATTTTATCTTGTGCTTGTTTTACTCTCAGGTTAGTACAGTGACGTGCTGTACAAGCTTAAAGTCTACAAGCAATAGCTGCACCATACAGACTAGGCGTGCAGTAGGCTGCACCATCTTGGTTTGTGTATAGGCTCCCTATGATGTTTGCATGACAATGCAACCACCTAACATTTCTCAGAAGTCTCCTCATCCTTCATCAGTGCATGACTGTGTTTAAGCCTTTTTTACATTTTCACTATCTATATCTCTCTATATATATAAAAGGATAACATGCTAAGTGTCCAACATCTGACTGGTCTCTATGACGTGCACTGACCACCAGGGGGCAAATGCTCAATGCAGGAACTGCCAACTTGCAGTGACGCACCTCGAGGAAGCCCGATTCCTCATGGGGCTGCATGATTCTATCTTCAGCCGTGGTTTATGTTGTTGCTGGGGCACTGTGGCCCCTGAATCTGCTTTACTGCACACTTGTGACACCCTGTACGACAGCAACTTTGTTCCAGCAACCCTGTATGACAACACCTCTCAAACTCCAACACCCCTCAGGGGATGTCAGAGAGCTGTTTTTGGCCTGATTCCTGCAGGCCAGGCTGAGGGACAGCGCCACCCCAGGTGCAGCCGGCCTGGGAGGGACCGCAGGAGGTTGGCTCCAGGGCGTGTCCAGCCCATCTTGCCCAGTCCCACCCTGCTGGCCACCTTCTATTTAATTTCCTTTCAATGTGCACAAATCTGTGCACCAGGTCACCAGTTATAAATATAATGCAGATAATGGTCTTATAAATTATTCACTGGCTTTTCCCTTTTGCTGTTTTCCATTTGAAATCATTCACTCCGTGGACACTTATTAAACACTTACTATTCCAGGCAGGTAGCAAAACAGACCTTCATCCTGGCTCCCGTGGAGTGCTCCTGCCCCTGCCAGTGGAGGATTCAGATTATTCAAAGGCAACAGCAGGTGTTCCAGGCAGAAGGTGCAGCAGGCACAGGTGCTGGACAGAAAGAGTACCCCTGGTATGTTCAAATAGCAGCAAAGAAATCAGAGTCAGCCCGGCTGGCATGGCTCAGTGGTTGAGCAACGACCTATGAACCAGGAGGTCATGGTTTGATTTTTGGTCAGGGCACATGGCCGAGTTGTGAGCTTGATCCCCAGTGTGTGCTATGCAGGAGGCAGCCGATCCATGATTATCTCTCATCAATGATGTTACTATCTCTCTCTCCCTCTCCCTTCCTCTCTGAAATCAATTTTTAAAATATATTTTAAAAAACGACAAAAGAGCTATATTTTTCTGAACATCAAGTTCAAGATTAGTAGCATTTGGGACTCTGCTACACAAACAATTTGATAAGCATCCTTACACACATCTTTATAGTCTTTACTAGGGGACTAGTGCATGAATTCATGCACCTTGAAAGGAACTGTGGGCCAAGAGGCTGCTCTGGGCACAGGGGTGGGTCTCGGCCCATCATGCATGTCCCCAACCAGCCCCTTATCCCAGCAGCCCCACTCTCACCACCATGGCTCCCATGTGCTGATGGTGGTGGCCCCACTCACACCCTCTGACAGCACATGATTGGGGCCAGCACCAACCGCAGGTGTGATTGGGGCCAGCACCATCAGCGGATGTGAGCAGTAGCTGTTGCCCTGATCGCCCCTCATGAGCAGGGGGAGGTGGAGAAGCCCTCAGGGGCGATCGGGACCAGCTCCAGATGCCAGCAGCAGCTGTGAGCAAGGCCAGTGCTAGCAGCAGGTGCAAGCGCCAGGTGGGACCACATCACGTGTAAGCAAAGCATTTTCAGTAACCACCAGAGCTTCACCCTGATGACAGCAACTGGTGCCCTGCCTTGGTCTGGCGCCCCTGCTGACTTGCTCCACCATCCCACCATGGCCGATGCCCACCATGTTCCGCGTGCGCCCCTAGTGGTCCCCACACATCATAGCAACCAGTTGTTTAGTTGTTCCACCATTTGGCCTATTTGCATATAAGCCTTTTATTATATAGGATATCTTGTCCAAGTTCCTTAAGTTGCTGAATGTGGAATTGTTGTGTTATAGGCTACTACCATTTTATTTTTTTTTATATTGTTCCACAGAATAGTTGTAACAATTTACACTCCAAGCTCATAACCCTCTCTCCTCCCACTGTCCTGTACATTGTGTTATTTCATCAGTTTTCTTTATATTTTTTGCCATTGTGTTTGGCAATATATATTTAATTTTGCCTGTATTTTTTAAATTCTTGAGGTACCCCAAGGCTCAATGTCCCCAAATTTCTAACTTCTTTTTTTTTCAAAATATATTTGTATTGATTTCAGAGAGGAAGGGAGAGGGAGAGGGAGAGAGAGAGGGAGAGAGAGAGAGAGATCAATGATGAGAGAATTATGGATCAGCTGCCTTCTACACACCCCCACTGGAGATCAAGCCTGCAACCTGGGCCCTTGACCGGAAACGAACTGTGACCTCCTAGTTCGTAGGTCAATGCTCAACCACTGGCTTAACTTCTTTTTTTAAAGTATAGTGTGCCTACAGAAAAGAGCACAGATAATAAGTTTTCAGCTTTAATAATGATCACAGCCCTGACTAGTTTGGCTCAGTGGATAGAGCATTGGCCTGTGGACTGAAAGGTCCCGGGTTCGATTCTGGTCAAGAGCATGTACCTTGGTTGTGGGCACATCCTTAGTAGGGGATGTGCAGGAGGCAGCTGACTGATGTTTCTCTCTCATCGATGTTTCTCTCTATCTCTCTCCCTTCCTCTCTGTAAAAAATCATATATATATAATGATCACAAAGTAAACAAATTGATTGGCCTCCCCCTTCGCATCACCAGTTCCTCCTCACCCCTAATGTAACCCCTGACCTGTCTTCCAACATAATAGCCTTGCTTGCTTTTAAACTTCACACAAACTAAATCATGTGTATGTATTCTTCTGTGACTTTCTCCTTTTACTTGCTTTATGTCTT